AAGAAGAAGAAGAAGAAGAAGAAGAAGAAGAAGAAGAAGAAGAAGAAACTTTTCTCATTTTGAGAATAAGAATGCAATTTTTTTTCATACTCTGGCAGTGAAAATATATCATATAAGATCTTTAAATCATTGATCCCTTTCTTTAGAACAGTGCTTCGAAACGGTCCAAAGTAAGGGAATACTGCTTTGGAGTGCTTGCCCCTCAAAGAGGATTGAGTGGTTACACAGTTCCATATCTGCTTTCTCTTCTTCCAGGTTGAATGGTATTAGCAATGGGTCTATCCCAAAGGAGATAGCAAACATCTACACCATCAGAATAATCCCTAAAATTTGTTGATGGACTAATCCAATGCTGGGCTATGCCATTGCTCTTTTACCATGGCTTAGTGAATAAATAAGAAAGGAATAGACACAATGGTTCCCACCACGAGATGTATTAAACTAAAGCAAATCCCTTTTACGGCTTAATGCCATGCATGAATGTTTTCAATGAATAATGTTGTGCTATCTTTGTGCGTGAAGCTCACCATCCACAGCTGAATCTGACCATCCTTCTGCTGGATGCCATAAATGGAATTCCCTCTTGGAGTTACTGGTGGACTTAACCAGCTGAAGATAATTTGAATTAGAATCTATCTCTGTACTCTGTTGACTCCTTGGATTATAGGGAGCTATGCTACCACTGGCGATTGCATTTTGCACTAAGTTACTATCTTGGAAATGTAAGAATACGAAAGCTTGTCTTTCAGAAAAATTAAAAGGTTGGCCGAAATGCTGCAGAATCATTTAAGAATAATTCTGAATGACTTCTGAATAATTCTGAATTTGTGCCTTCCTTGTTACATTCCTTCCTTGACAAGACAAGCAAGAGTTAAAGTGCTACAGATATGCATAAACAAGAGTTCAGATTTGCTTCACTATCCAAGGCAGGGACTGAAAAAAATGTTATATGCAGAAAAATAAATATTGTACGATGTGTGTTCCATTCTTTGCAGAAGACAAAAGAAGACTCAGTCCTGGTTAAGCATTTTTTAAAATCTAGTTAGTGCCAGTGCATCAAGAAAGCATATTTTATTCTTCCATGGGATCCAAAAGGGATCTTAAAATAAAGCATAGAACTTAAGAGAAGAAGCCGTGGTTATAAGCTTTTATTTTAGCTTTGAGCCTGAATGAGGTCCGGATTCCAGTCAAACAGCAAACATTATGAAAATCAAGCTGCCTTCTTCTTCCCTCTTGTTTTCCCCCCGCAAATGAATAATAAATATTGTACATTGTTTTCAATAAGAAATCATATTCTACTGGAGTAAACGGCTTTTATCTTTATGACAGTGTTGCCCATTCAAATGAGTGCCAAACAATGTTGACATAGAGCAAGTCTAAATTTAGGATGGTTATCTGAGCAGATATAAGCCAGTGGCTTCACCATATAAACAATTACCTGATGCTTAAAGGATTAAATACTCAAAATGCCAGCCAGAATAAATACAGGCTGCCCAACGCAAGAGGACAAAAGCTTCAAAAAGTAAATACTTGCAAAAATGCTAAATAGCATTTGTTCAAAAACTTTAAAAAAGAAAAAAGAAAAAAAAGAAAGGAAAATTACTCAAGGTATTGCAGGCTTCTTTTTTTTGTAGCAGCAAACACAAGCACACTTTACAGCAGAAGTCTCCAAACTTGGCAATTTTAAGACTTGTGAACATCAACTCCCAGAATTCTGAGAATCGAAGTCCACCAGTCTTAAAGTTACCAACTTTGGGGACCTCTGCTTTTAGAGACACCGTCTTTAAAGAATTGGCAGTCTCTCATTGAAGGTCTGTCTGGTGAATGGCACCAGATTTAACCAAACAAAATGTCACATTCTTGATATCAAGGAAATAATAATAATAATAAAAAATCTGGATATCCCCTCCCGTCTCTATATCTTCTTTTGCAACTGCAATAGCTTTCCCCAACCATCAACAAAAAGAAATAACTGCCTTCCCTATTACTGCTATTACGAGTAAGAGTGTTCAAGAACTCAAAGTAAGGGTTCCTGATGGACTATCCAGCCAAATCCTCGTCCATCAGTTGGCAAAGAGTCACAGATGGAAAGCAAAGGTTTGACTTCCAGATATCCAAAGATTACTGCTTCTACTACAAGTAATCTCAACCAAGTTGGAGGGTCTCATCCTTGGGGAAATTTCTTACATAAGTGTTTCCCCCTTGGTTAGTTGGCTTGATATTGAGGTGACAATGGCACAGTGAACATACAACTCAACACTTTTTCCTCCAGAGGTGGTATTCAGCTAGTTCTGACAGGTACTGGTAGAGGAAATGTTGAGTAGTTCAGAAAACCAACAAATAACACTTCTGACTGGCCCCGCCCCCATCTATTCTCTGCCTCCCATTGAGTCACAGCTGATTGGCTGGATCTTCTTTTGTTGCCATGCACAGGAGAGCGGAGCTGGAAAGCAGGTTAGTGGGGTGGGTAGGGAAGGGAAGAGGGATTTTACAGTATCCTTCACCTGGAGTGGGGTGGAAATGAGGATTTTACAGCATCCTTCCCCTGCCACACCCACCAAGCCACACCCACCAAGCCACGCCCACAGAACCGGTAGTAAAAAAATTTGAATACCACCACTGTTCTCCTGCCTTCCACAGTAGCAGATGGAGGACAACTGATACTCTTGAGTTAACTCTTCACTCTTCCATGCAATCCTTCTTATCGTTTTGCCCAACCTCTCTACCAACGATCAGAAGCTCAAGGTCCACACACATCCGGAGTCCTTTGAAAATCATTCTCTAACAGTTCTACTCTAGGGGGATGTAGCCAATCTAGGAATGAGACTTAGGAAGAGCCATTCACGGTTATCGGGGAGTATCTGATATTATCCCCAAAGTTTACCAGCTTGGGGAAAAAAAGCACATTTTTTTTAAATCCAGGAAAACCACACCTATATACAAGAAAACCTGGTAATTAGGGAGAATTACCAGAGGTGTTTTTAGTTGTGTTTGGATTCAAGCTTTGATTGGGTTCCGTCCATGGCGTGTTTTTAGTAAATTCTATCTGGCCTACAATTTTTTTTTTAAACCTAAAAGTTATGCCACATCTAAGTAAGTGTGAAGAAGAGTCACGACATGTAACAATGGAATATCTCTCTGTTGGCTTGGTAAGGAATACTTAATTGACTCATCACAATGGACTCTGACTCTACGTTACTTTGCGTAATTTGGCACTTTTGAGCTGTATTATAATTCTAAGAAAGGATTCTATTTGTTTATTTTAACAATAATGTTAATGTGTTCTACTAAGGTAAACCTATCCTGGTCAATATGCTTACATGGAAACTGCCCTGTTATTTTGTTCATTTTGCTCAAGCATTTGCAGCCCAAGTTGGCTGTCAAGCTATTCACTCTTTTGTACACCAAATCTCTGCACACACAAAAGCATAATTCAAAGTGTCCATAATTTGTGACCTCCCCTTCCCCTTCCCTATCTTCCAACATCCACAGTGATCTATATTTAATCTGTTGAATCAACCTCCACACTTTTTGACTTCGTTATTCCCTTCTGGATCTTTCTTTAGACGTTGATGGCGTGGGCATGTTTCTTGCACAGAGGTTTGTCTTTCTTCGAATAAAATGGTTGACCTTCCAAATTGACATGGCAGACCTACAAGTGAAAGATACAGGAAGTTAGAATTGCATCAAAGCAGGTGCGATTCTGAGACCCCAACATTTCAGCCCATTCTGCAAAATCAGCCAAGTTAGAGCAATCTAACATAAGACGTGCTGAGCAGGGGTGGGATTCAAAAACCCCAGCAACTGGTTCGCTGCCCAGTTGCTGGATGGGTTGCTGGATGGGTGTGGCCATGGTGGGCGTGGCCTACCAGAGCTTCCTGTTTCCACTTCCTGTGGGCCTCCAGAGCCCAGGGAGGCCATTTTTGCAATCCCAAGGGTCCAGAGGCTTCCCCTGGGCCTGTGGGAGGGTGAAAACAGCCTTTTCTGGGCTCTGTAGACCCACCAGAAGCCAGAATCAGGCCTGTTTGCGGACTTCCAAAAGTCCCATTTTTCCCCTTTCCAGAGCCTCCACACAGACCCTGCACCTCCATCGAAAATGGGCTGAGTGAAGACTCCTGGGAGGGGAGGGATGGGATGGGTGGGGCCAGCCGGTCAGTTCAAATACTGGTTCCGCAAACCAGATGTAACTTTTATATCTGGTTCGCCTGAACCAGTCCAAACCGGTAGAATCCCACCCCTGATGCTGAGCCTCCATTACTGATTCAAGCAATGAGAGAAAGAGAGAGATTTGTGCACACGGTTGATATGATTCCTTGATTCTGTTTCTTTAGAAAATCACTGACAATCAAGGAACATCCTTTAATGTGTTGACATGAAACACACAAAACAATTTGGGTTTCGGTGCAGTCAGTCATTTCTTTCCAAGATGATCTACCAAACTGAGCACAGATGAATATGATCCAGATCTACTTCCAAGGATAGAACCAGAATATGGGTTCTACTACGTACATGTTTTGAAGAACATGATCTCTCATCCCTAGCAGGTTGGCCATACCTACAAGGTGTTTGTTTCAGTATGAAACATTTAGAAGGCCCCCTAGACCTCTCGGGGTATCCAGAGATGGGCTGCTGCAGGTTTGGACTGGTTTGCCCAAACCCCTTGTTCCGATTCTGTGCAGTTCAGAGAACCGGCAAATTGGACCACCAGCTGGCCCCACCCCTGCCTGTTTTTCGGGCCATTTTCAGCTGTTTTTCGGGTGAAAAACAGCCCAAAAGAGGCCCCCAAAACAGCTTGAAAAACAGGCCAGTTTTCAGGCTGTTTTCAGGCCAGTTTTCTAGCCAAAATCAGCCTGAAAACAGCCCCTCAAAAGGCCTGGAAATGGCCCAAGAACATGCCGAAAATTGCATGGGGGCAGGGCCATTCAGTGATGGGATTAGCCCCAACCAGCTGAATCCTACCCCTTCCTTTGAAGCGAGTGGCCGGAAGGCAGGGCTGGGTGTGATGAGTGACGTCACCCACCCAGTTGGAATCAATTGGAGATTATGCTTGTCTCGGAGTGATTGATTACTATGGATAATTTCTGGATGCCTAACACCAGTCACATGACCAACCGGCCACGCCTACCCAGCCAGAGAACTGGGTTGTTAAAAAAATCTCAGCCCACCACTGGGGGTATTTATATTTGTTGTGACACCCCCACCAGTCTTGGGAAGATACCTACAGCACAAATGAAGCATGTATCATGCCAGGTGTGACCAAGGGCTTCAATGAATTTGTCTCCAGCCTCAACGGGGAAGTCGCATCCATGACATTTGGTGCTGAACAAGGCAACATAATCTAGAAGAAAACATACCAAAAATAAAAATTGAGGTTTTCAATATAAAGAACACTAGGATAAATATATTAAGTCTTCTCTTGATTTTTTTTTGTGATGTCATAGATACGCACATGTAGTTTTGGGACAAAAAGACAACCATGGAGTTTTAACATCTTCTTTAATGGGATGCAAAATTGTGGGTTTATTGTTGCTTGCCTTCCTCCTCAACTTTGTGAAAGTTTCTGGAATGGGCTTTGAAATGGGTTGACTTGCCTGGTATGGCACAATATTTGGAGCATTAGACTAGGAGCAGGAAGAACTAGTTTCAAATCCTGCTGTCTTACAAACAACAAGGTGGGGGTTGGGTGGAGATCAGCCAGCTGATCTCTCTCTCTTAGCCTGACCAGCCTTAAAGTATTTCACAGTTATGAAAGCAAATAAGGATGCATGGGGAACTCGTGGGAAGGAGGGCAAGACTAAACATGATCAGTGAGGCATTCTGACATGAAGCAATGCCAGAGTCTAAGCTGCAAATGCAACCATTTATAGAATGAATATTGTATATTATATGCTGCTTCTTCTGCACCAAATATTAGTGATGCTTCAGCAATAATTACCTTTTTAAAAATCTCTAGATTTGGCACACTTTGATTTTTAAATGAAGGATTTGTTTTTCTTACCTAAATGTGCTTATTTCCCACCCCCTTTTTCCCCCCTTTTTATCTTAGGCATGCTCAACTAGATAGAAGCCAATTGGCTGTTTGCAAAAAATGAACACAAATAAACAAATAAACAAGAAAAGCCAAACAAGATTGGGTCTTGGGAGGAAATGTCAGGACTGAATCTGCAGAAGTTGAAAAAAAAACCAATTGCAGGAGTAAGAGAACGACATATCACCGTTGAGAAAATTGTACGACTGTGTCAAAGTAGTTTCTGGGAATCAAATTTTCCTCTACTTCACATTGTCTTCCTGGAAAGTATCTATGTTAGGACTGTGAACTCAAAGTAGCAGTTGCTTTTCAAAGTCATTGCGAACAAAAGAAGACCTCAAAAAGCCCAAAGTCCTACAAATTTGGGAAAGGGGGAAAGCAAAAAGAGGAAAAAGAGGAGATTTAAGCACGATGGAAAGTTGCCTTTTTGAAGCCATCCCTACGAGAACATGGCTGAACATGAAAACTGACTGGCAAAGACTTGCAAGAAGCAAGCATGAATGAAAGCGGTAGAGAAGGAGGGGATTTCCAAGCTGAGGGTGTTTTTGTTGGAAAGATCCAAGACTATCAACTGATGGAGGAACTTTGCAGCACCTTTCTCACAGTAGGGTTCTCCATCCTCCATGTGGAAGAGGCTGTTTCCAAACGGCTTCCGACAGGCAGCGCAGACAAAGCAAGTGGTGTGCCAAGTTTGCCTCAAAGCATGCATCACTTCCTGGAAGAGAAAGGAGAAGTGGGTGATTTTTCCAGAAATGTCCTCCTTTTTGGGGGGGAAAGGAACATGGGGAAGGCCAGCTCTTATCCCAGCTAAATAATTCAATTATTGATTATTATTTCCTCTTTTCAAGGAGAAGTAATGTCTGAGCAACTCAGGTGGAATTCCTGCAGGTCATTGTGGGGTTATCCCAAGATGTTCCTCAGATGTGGTGAACCTCAACTTCTAACATGCCCAGTGAAGCAGCTGAGTTGTCTACGGTTCATGGAGTTTTCAGGTAGTCCTCGAATTACAACCACAACTGAACCCCATATTTTTGTTGAGAAGTGAGTTTTGCCCATTTGATGACCTTTCTTGCCACCACTGTTAAGTGAATCACTGCATTTGTTAAGTGAATCTGACTTCCCCGTTGACTTTGTCTGTCTGAAGGTCACAAAAGGGAATCACACAACCCAGGGAAGCTGCAACCATCATAAGTATGAACCAGTTGCCAAGCATTTGAATTTAGACCACATGATTACAGGGATACTGCAATGGTTGTAAGTGGGAAAAACAGTCATAAATCACTTTTTAGTGCCATTGTCATGTCCCAGCATATAACTTTTATATACTGTTGTTGCTCTCTAGCCCCATCTAGTGGCCAGAGAGACAAATACCAAGTATATTGTTTGATGCTGATCCAACCCCTTTCCCCATCAGCCCACACTCTCAAAACAAGTGCACGATGGGAAGCCAGACTCCATTTAAGAGGTCCTTAAAGGGGGCGTGCATAAGCACACCAGCGTGCCTACCATCCCTGTCCTACTGTCCCCATTTATCTGTATTTACTTCCTTTGTTCTTGTTTATGTTCATACTTATACTTGTTATCTTGTACATTTTTGACAAATAAAATAAAATAATAAAATTTCTTTTAGCATTTGGAGAAGGCGGAAGCAGAAAGAAGAATCCATCTTAATCTATGACACATGGTCATCCAAGGACAAACCCACATCCCACACACAGAGTATCATTGGTGAGATTTAAATTGCTTGTATTTATTCATTGCTATGTTCAGCAGTAACCCAATACTGCCTATCTTGTATTTGGTTCTCATTGTATGTATCCCTATTTTCCCCAGTTTCACCATATCCTGTTCTTTCAATAAAGCATTCAGATCTACGCACGTGATGCAGAACCGCCGTTGTAACTTTAAATGGTCACTAAACAAATGGTTCAGAGGTGGTATTCAGCAGGTTCTGACCAGTTCTGGAGAACTGGTAGCGGAAAGTTTGAGTAGTTCGGAGAACTGGCAAATCCCACCCGACTAGCCCCTCCCCATCTATTCTCTGCCTCCAGAGTCCCAGCCTATTGCCTGAGCTTTCTTTTGTTGCCCTGCACAGGAGAACGGAGCTGGAAAGCAGGTTAGTGGGGTGGGGAGGGAATGGGGATTTTGCAGTAACCTTCCCTTGCCAGACCCACCAAGCCACGCCCACAGAACTGGTAGTAAGCTTTTTTGAATCCCACCACTGAAATGGTTATAAGTGGAGAACTACCTCTACAGTCAAATGCCCCAGGAAAGCATTAGGAAGAGGAAGGTGGTGTGATTTTACTTCAACCTTTAAAGAGTGTTCTGGATGCCTTTATCTAAAGGGTATTGGGGATTCAGATCCCCAAGCGGGGAACCTTGGACTGGAAATGCAGTATTGTGTTAGGCATTTCCAATCATCCCATAAATATCTGCCTAAAACACAAAAATGTCAGCTGTGGAAGTTTAAGTCATTCCAACACATCACTTTGAAGTAGCCCAACTCAAATGACCAGGGAAAAAACCAGGACTGGGATAATTGGTGTACAGGACTTTCCCGACCACTGCTCATTATCTGTTGAGCAATTTGTTCATGAGGTCTCTTCTCTCTATAATTTTTTTTTTTGAATTCCTAGTTTCCGAGGTGTTACCTAATTTAATCTGACGTTCCCTTCTTCTCACATACTCTTGACAAAACCCTATGATCATTCTACGTTAACGAGCTGCCTCACTGGTGAGTCACTGTTAATAAGTCTAATTAACCTGAATGAGTGTTTGCATAGCAACCTAGATGATCAGTTTAAGTTAAGTTTGCAGGTCATCCTGCTTAGTTTACGGGGAAGTCAATAAAGGAAAAGGGAGAGCTGGAGCTCAGTATCTCACAGCCAATGGAAGCTAAGGTCTGATTGGAATCTCAATTAATACACGGCAGAGCTTCTTCATTTCTAAGCCACAGTCTATTCTTCTGTCTTTTCTAACAGGTATGGCCAGTGGTGGGATTCAAATAATTTAACAACCGGTTCGCCCAGTTGGCTGCTGTACATGTGGGATGAGCCTCCTGCAATGGCCACCCTGACCCTGGGTGAACCGGTTGTAAATTACCCACTCTCCCCGCTATCAACGTGGATCCTGGGTGCTGCGCTGCAATGGACCGATGGAAAAACAGAGCATTCGGCACAAGGGAAGGAGGAGGAGGAGCAGCTTCCCTTTTCCTCACGCTGGCCGCTTCGTGGCCCATTTCTCCATTACAGCACAGTGCCCAGGGTCCACTTTGATAGTAGGCGTGGGGGTGGGGGGTATGTAAGAACTGGTTCGCCTGAACCAGTACAAACCGGCTGTCAGCTTTGGAAGCCATATTAGCACCATTCCTGAGCCTGGGAAAATGGAAGGGGGGGATTTCTCGAAGCGTATGTGGTTAGACACAACAACATTCTTCTTCTAAGTCAAGGTCATGTTATTTCTGCACCTGGTGGAGAGGACATCTCAAGCTGGGACGGATGGTGATTGGGGCGTGTGGTGGCATGAGGGGTGCAGGGGGTGGATTTGTAATGTTTTACTTATTGCAAGGAAACCCGGAACTTTCAGATTCGGGATTTCCCAGATGTGCCAGTTTACTATTCTAATGAAAAGAACCTTTCAGACGATGTCTGTCTTGGATTTATTTGTTGGACTGGAGGTTTTCTGGAACACTGACACTGGCTGAATCCCACCACTGGATACAGCTCATATTTATCAACTGATAGAGATGATGAGACTTCAGAGACGTTCTGTGCCCACTGTAACCGAAATTTTACATCTGGGCTTCAAAAGGGTAGATGACCATTACAACTGTAGCAGAGAGCTAGAGTTTTCTTTGTCTCTTCAGTGCTCCCCGAGGGTCATTCAAATTCTTGCAGCCCATATCTGGTAGCTGGGCTCTCCCCCATAGACATGATTGGGCCAGGATTCCTCCCAGGAGGCTGGTGGACTTACCCCCATGATCTTGGCATGGCATCTGGCACAGGTCGGGGCAAAGAACTGTTCGTAGCAATGCTCACAGTAGACGCTGTTCTGTTCTTCAACAAACCCCACATCAGCCAGAGAGGTCTTGCAATAAGCACAGTAGAATTCCTCAGGGTGCCAAGAGCGACCCATGGCTACCAAGAACGGCCCTCTGTAAGAATGAATCAAACACATTCAAAAAGATATTGCTCTTCTATCCCTTGCTTTTCTATCTCTTGCACATATGGATCTGTTCAAATGACTCCTGGGAATTAGCTTAATAAAACCCAGAAAAACCTCCTTAAAGACTTACCAATTCAAAGCTTATTGAACTATTATTCTGAATCTCCCCATTACAAGCCCACCCGGAGAATTAATAAATTTTCTTCCGAGGGGGTCTGAACACAATGTCAAATCTAGCCAGCGACCAAGAAGACCTGGGAGCAACAGGAGGACAATATTCTCTACTGCTAGAGGAAGCAGGGGAAGCCGACTTGTTAGCAGAACTAAATCTTGGGGAAAAACCAGCTGTAAAACCCAAATGGTCCCTGGGAGTCGGTTGGAAGGATCCTGAGGAAAAGTCTCCTCCAGGAGTGACCACTACCCATTGGCGTGGAAGAGAGGAGCCATGGCAGGAGAAGGAAAGAAATAATTTTTTACTAACTCAAGCCATGCATCGTCTAAATGAAACTATTGGAGAATCTCAAACTGATCAAAGGTATGAAGGAGAGGAGGGGGAGGCAGCCCCAGCCAGAAGAATTAGAGCAGCCACCCCCATAAATCAACCTGGGCTGGCGCAACAGGCAGCAGCAGCCCAGGGCCCCCCAGTGGGGGGAGTAATTGCCAGAAGACGTAGAACTCCAAAGGTGCCCCCATTGAAAGTAAAATATGGGGGGGATCCCAAGGAGTTAGGATTCTTCCTGGCACAAGTCTGAAGCCATATGGAGGAATATGGAGGGGATTTTTCCTCAGAAGCAGCCAAAGTTAGATGTGTTACCAGGGCTCTGGAGGGAACAGCTGCAAAGTGGATGGTGACTTTGCATAATGATAATGCCCCCCAGCTGATGACTTATGACCTGTTCATGACTGCACTGTGAGCCAGGTTTGAAGACCCACTTGCTGAACGTAAGGCCAGAATTAGGAT